GCTGGTGTGTCTGCCTGCAGTCCCTTCACTCTCTCCCCACCATTTCCCTCTGATGAGCCCTACAGACAACACTAAAACCCCACACCCCACCTCACAAGCTAGCCGGTCCCCTGCCCTGGGGTTGGATTGGAGCTGGCACCTCCTAGAGAAGAAAAGCTCTGTGTCCCCCATTCCCTACTGCTCTGAGCCAGCCAGGGCCCTACCCTAGGGCTGGCTCAGACCTGGCACCCTCTAGAGGAGAAAGGCCCCATGCTGGGATAGCTGCCCTGGGGCATCTCTTTCAGGACAGTGAAGTACTTTAGCCTCCTCTGCAGAGACCGGCCTATATGGAGCACAGCGCCTGCCCTAGCAGGGACAATGTTCAAAGTGAGATGCTCCCTTCACTGCAGTGTCTCACTGCAGAAACCAGCGGGCCTGGCCTGCAGCACATGAGGGGGCAGGCAGCTCAGCAAGCATCTAACAAGGGCCTGGGTCAGCAAGGACTGAGCTAGCAATGGGTCAGCCACAGGCAAGGCCATGAGCAAGCAATACCCCAGAAACAGATTCACAGTTGGCTCCAGCAAGGCAGGGAGGGGACACCTGGCTGATTCCCTCTCTGGCCAGGCAGCATGGTGTCTGGAAACTCTGCACCCGCCATGTGCCAGGACTGCCCACCTCTCCCCAGCTGGGATCCGTGCCCAACGGCCAGTGACAGTTACCATGAATGGGGTCCAGAGTGTCCATGAAATCCTCTCCAAAGTTGGGGTGCAGCTGGGTCAGGGTGGGCTGGATCATGTCTGCATTGCCTTGGTGAGCTGGGAAGACACAATGATGGGGGCCAGACATAAGAACACCCGCCATGTGCCAGGACTGCCCACCTCTCCCCAGCTGGGATCCGTGCCCAACGGCCAGTGAGAGTTACCATGAATGGGGTCCAGGGTGTCCATGAAATCCTCTCCAAAGTTGGGGTGCAGCTGGGTCAGGGTGGGCTGGATCATGTCTGCATTGCCTTGGTGAGCTGGGAAGACACAATGATGGGGGCCAGACATAACATCAGCCACTCCCACGGCTCTGCCCCACCCACCTTGCTCCCTCAGACAACTGATTGCAGGGAGGGAGTGGGGACTCTGGGGGGCCCAGAGACGGGAATGCCTGGGAGATTCAGAGCTCAAGACCACTCCCTTTTAGATTTTGGTGCAAATGAGAGAAGGAAAACCCTATGAAGCAAAGGGGCCGGGCCCCGATCTAGGGGGGGAATCCCTCTAGGGAGTGGAGAGACGCAGAGAATTCCTGTGAAAAGATGGGGAAAGGGGGCTGAGATCTGGAGAGGGGAGTCCTTATGGGGCACAGCGGGGGAGGGGATGCCTACAGGGCCCAGAGAGGGAATCCCCTGTGTTAGGGATGCTGAGCAGTGCTCACCATGGCCACGGGGGTTGGGCCCCCCATACGGGTTGCGGCTGGAGAAGATGGTGTCAGCCAGGTCCGAGATGAGGCTGTCCAGAGTGTCCAGGTCAAGCTCCATGGGGCAGGTGCCTTCAGCCTCACGGCTCAGCCCCTCACCTGGGGCAGCATATGGAGGGGGGGGGGGGGAGAGACAGAGAAAGAGAATTGTGAGCCCAAGCCCTGCGACAGGCGGAACAGTATCTAGCAGCACCCTGGCGAAGTTCAGGAAGGGCCTTGGGAGGATGCTGTCTATTACAACTAGCTGGATTATTGTGGGAGACTGAAACACATTTAAGGGGCAGACAGGACAAACAGAAACCCTGGGAAGTGGCATGTGCTTCAAAGGCCTCTCCAGTCTGACCTTTCAGTTGAGTTGATTTCCTAGGAAATACCTGGGAAGAGGGGATGCAAATCGCTCCTCCCAGAACTAGTGTTTTGAAGCGGCACCTTGAGAAGAAACCCACTGCTTGGGGTTAAAGGGTCACTCCTAACTCCTGGGGAAGCCAGTGCTGAGCGACAGCTGCTATGGACTTGTGAGCACAGAAATACCCCGGCTGGGGGCTGAAGCACTGATCACTGGCCAGTGCCCTGGTTGGAGCTGAGGTGATCTCTGGCAAGATTACTATCCCAGGTAGTTTCTCGTACTGTTCCTATTTGCTCGCTATCGCTTTTGCCTTCAGAATAAGAGTGCTTTTTCAGCAAAGCCACGTGAGTGTGAGCAAGGTGGCTACTGTTAGTCTCTGAAGAGAAAGCACAGATGCTGGCCTGGTTAGGCCGTCTGCTTTGCTGGGGGAATCTCACAGCACAGCCAGGGGCCTGTGCAGCCTGGAAATGCCCCAGGCAGGAGGCGAGAGAGGTGTGTCTCTGCCCAAGAGAGGGGACAGCTCAGAAGCCTGCAGCTGAGAGTGGGTACCCTTGCCGGACCATGGAGGGGGAACACTGGTGCAGATTCATCTTATGCAGGGGCTGTGGAGCGCCATTTAAAGTAGAGGGGGCAGCAGCACATATTTGCTATACACACAGCCCTGCCACGGCTCCTCCATCTTCTCCCCCTCCCCACCAGCCCGATCTCCCTGGCCTATGAACCCATCCATCACCTCAAAATCTGAGTTTGATGCCTTGGGCTGCAGTGCCACTCATATTGGCCTGGCCCCACTCCTCCACCCCCACCAGCTATGCAGCCAATGCTGTGTACTCAGGCAGGATCAGGAGCCCTGGAGTTATGATGGGGAGCTCCCAGCTACCTCAGTCCCAGCTTTTCCCAGCATGTGGCACTATAGAGAATGAGGCAGGGATGCTGGGCATGGGGGAACGCCAAGCTGGCTACTCCTGTCCAGCCTCTCCCAGAAGAAGGTGCTGCAAGCTGTAGGGACAAAACAAGGAATCTGTACCTGGGCGGATAAAGACTCAGGTTCGTCTTTGTTCCTCTGGACCTAAACATTAAACAAAGAGGAGCTTTAAAACCAACATGTGGCCTCTGCCCACCATGTCAGGGGCTCTGTGTACTCTGGCATGGGGCTGGTGGTCCACTTACTTCCCATCCCCAGCAGGCTGAGATTTCACAGAGCCAGCCTGGCCTCTCTCAGCCACTGAGGTAATTTGGGACGATCTGAGATGGAAGTGGGAGAATTAAGGGGGGGGAGGGGAAGAGAGGGTCCTACCATCGTGGCATTCCAGTAGCTGGAGAGATCTACAGATCTGCTGTGGGCAAGCAGGGGTGGCTGCTGGCAGAGATCACAGCCAGCTGTCCAGGGATGGAGGGAGTGGGGAAGAGACTGATGGATAGATGGGGTACAGCTTCAGAGGTGAGCGCAAGGCTGGCCACTGAGTCCCCTCTAAACTGGAAGGTATAATGGCAGAGTCTTTCCAGCTGGAGTCTGCTCAGTTCCCTCTTCCCCTTATTTGGCTTAGAGATCTCAAAGTGCTGGCAGAGATCACAGCCAGCTGTCCAGGGATGGAGGGAGTGGGGAAGAGACTGATGGATAGATGGGGTACAGCTTCAGAGGTGAGCGCAAGGCTGGCCACTGAGTCCCCTCTAAACTGGAAGGTATAATGGCAGAGTCTTTCCAGCTGGAGTCTGCTCAGTTCCCTCTTCCCCTTATTTGGCTTAGAGATCTCAAAGAGATTTTACCCGTGTTTGGGGGGGGGGGGGCGGGGCTCAGAAGCCAGACCCTGCTGCTGCCAACTTACCCCCAGACTGCAGTGCCAGCAGAGAGGCGGAATACAGAGCAGGTCTGGGTGCCACAGCATCTACTGCTGCCAGGCACTGACCAGAGCAGGGGAGGGCACCAGAGATGTAGGAATAGAGACTGTGGGGTCCTACCTGGGTGCAGAAGTACGACCTCCACTTGTGATACTCCCGAATGACAACTTCAATCTGGCGCTTCCAGTACTTCCCTTCCATGATCACGGCCTGCAAGGCAAGGGCAAGGTGGTGCTAGAGCCAATTGCAAAATGGAGTTTCCACAGAAAATTCAGATATTTCAGCATAAATTCAAAAATATCTCAACAAGAACTGCAATATTTGAATTACTGGCACCTCATGGGAGCTGGAGTTTGACTGTCTCGTGCTCATGTTCTCCCCTATAAGCTGGTCTTCCTCCTTGGACTACATTTCCCATGAGCATGATAATCTCCCCACTTGTGAAAAGGAAGCTGTGCATTTAGGGTTGCCAGGTGTCCAGTACTGACCTGGACAGTCTGGTATTTTTGCCTCTTGTCTGGTAAAATAATTCAGAAAATACCGGACACCTTAAATGTCCGGTATTTTCTGATTTTTTTTTCCCTGACAGGAGGCGAAAATACCAGATACCTGGCAACCCTACAACACACTCAGCAACCAGGCCCAGCTCCCGGACCCTCTGCCAGGCCCCCCGGATGCCCCCCGCTTACCTGGTTCTGCAGGGGCTTGTCTTGTGGAGCAGAAAAACCAAAATGGCCCCTGGCAAAAAGTCTTTTCTTAAAGGGGCCATGCTGATTTTTTTTTTTGCTTAACTGCTGTGGGGGTCCTTTTTTTGGTATTTTGGGGTAAGCCATCTGGCAACTCTATATGCATTGTGGGCCTCCATGGTCCTGGTACATCATGGGAAATGTAGTGCAACTGGTGAGCCCAGTACAGAGAGAAAACAGAATCACAATTCCCATGATGCATCACAGTTTCCCTTCTTGAAGACAGGAGGCAGAGCATCATGAGCGTCCCTGGCCTGTGGTACGTCACAGTTGATGTCGTCCAGACAATTGAGGAAACTGAGGGACAACTCGCATGAGGCATAGCAGAAGCTTTGCCTAATCACATTTTGTTTCTCGGGCATTCAATTTTTTATGAAAAATTGGAATTTCCCTTCACAGCAGAGACTTTGAGGAAATCTCTGCCTACAGGCAACCAAACTTCTACCAAAAGACAGTTTGGATGGAAGAATGTCAAAGAACCCTGGTGAGGACCTCACCTCGGGAGAGAGGAGTGGAGAGGTGAGCCCAGGTCAGTCCTTTGCAAGGGAAGGCACAAGCCATAAGCAGCTCTCAGGGAAGAGAAGGCAAGTAGGAGATACAAATTCATCTGCATCACTGGTGCAACAAAGCCTGCTGGAGTCTGGGTGACAAGGAGTCCCTGCCAGTGCCCCCCACACCCGCGCACTCACCTCCGGTTTGCGGTGCTCGTCCCCGACACTGCACTCCAGCGGCGTCACAAAATTACACACAGGGTTCTTCCTCCTCTCCACATCTGCAGGAAGATGTGGAGAAACAAGAACTGCCTTAGCTACAGCCTCCTCGGCCACCTGCCGGGGGCACCCCAAGGGAATCATGCAACAGGAAATGGGCCTTTCCCTTTAAGGGAGCATTAGCTCTGACCTGACCCTTGGCCAGGTGAGAGACATGGGACCTTCCCCCTCTAGGCTCTGATGTGGCCCCAGGGCAGGGGGATGGGGAATGGGACACGGGGCATTTTCCCTCTGAGGTGGGCAGTGACGGAACAATCCTGAAGTGGTGCTTTGCCTAGTGAAGCAGGTTCTTGCTGCCCTGAAAGCAGGAATTGCCTTGCTCACACAGCACAGGGCCCTGGCAATCGAGCAGCCCCTCTGGCGTGGTGGGATGCTAAGCAAGGGGAGCTCACCCTGCCACAGCCTGCTCTGTGTACACTCTGGGGAGACTCCAGAGCCTTGTGTGCCCCTGGGCAGGCCCCCTCCCCCACTCACACTGCAGGTACCATGCCCTCCAGATGGCATTATTGAGCCGGATTTTGTCACGCTGCAGCAGCTTCAGGCCTTTGAACGTTTTCCACTTGGGGGACACAATTTTCCCACTATGAAAAACAAGGAAGAAAACTCTTTAATGACGCAGACCCCGAGAGATGGGGATGGAGGCAGGGAAGGGCAGAGTCTAAGAGGGGAGCAGGCCAATGACAGACTGGAATCCTACACTCCACCCGACCCCACACAGCCCCACCCGACCCCACACATCACACCCTCACCTCAGGGATCCTCTACAGAGCCCAATTTCCTCCACATTCACACAAAGGAAAACGTAAACTAGATTTGGAGGTGACTAGTTGACCCAGCAAGGGGTATCGGTTAGAACCTAGAGTCTGGTTTCACTTGGGCTAGCACCCACCCCACTTTGCAGTGAGGATGCAGGCTAAATCACTTGAATGCCAACCGTCCTCCAACACCTTCCCACAATTCCTCCCATGGACAGAGAAGTTCTCCTGCAATTGACACAACTGACATGGAAAGAATCTGAGAGCGTTTCAGAACAAAGAACATGGGGAACCACCACCAGCCACACTCAGCCAAATGCACATGGTTGGGCTTTGCAGTGAGGGTATTCACACCTTGGTGCCAATCACCCAGGGCTAACTGTTAAGTGAAGGCAAGTTCTAGTAGGTCCAAGGCATTAAGAAACTGAAAAGACTCTCAAGGCTTGCCCACGGGGGGACATTTCTTTGAGGGATCTAGTTTTTTTTTAGCAGAGACTGCCTTGCATCCAAACACACAAGCTGTTTTTTCAACATTATCTGGTATCTTATCCTGCACTGAAAGTTATCACCACCCACATGATCAGGGCAAGCTAGGAAGGCAAACCACTCGCTGCCTGGCTCAGTCTCCAGCTAGCTCCCCAGGACAGCCTGGCTGCAAGTTCAGTCTCTGTCCACCAGAAGTCTTCCTTTTGGTGCCCACGTGATCACTGGCCATATAGCAACATTCTTGGTAAACACATTTAATAACCTCTTGGCCTTCCATCCTAATAATATGTCCGTATCAAGAAAGCCACTGAGCCTGAACCTGTGCTGATGTGCTGTGCGGCTCAGCAAACACATCACATGGCAGGCATTTTTACCACAGCAGCAGAAAACAAGAGCAACAGAAACTGCACCTTGGATCCCAGTTTGATCAGTGCCCTGGGCTTGATTTGTTGTATTTTGTCCTCCTGGCACAGCACAGCCTTTGCAGAGAGAGGGCTTATCAGTGCTGCACTCCTGGCAAGCCTCCGAGGGAAAGCAGATTTGCTAGATCCCAGCAGAGGGCAAGAGACAGAAGACTGGAGGGAAGGGTTCATGCTGCAGAAGAACGAGAGAGAGGAGCACAGGGAGCAGTCCAAGAGGGTGTCACATCATAAAACACTCCTAGGAATTGTGCTAATAAACTCAGAAATGCACATCTCACTATGAATGTGTCAAAATACATAATACAAACAGCCAAACTCCCTCGTTTCGAGCACTGCGTCAAATTCCACCAGATCCCTTGGCAGTAGAATCCATCACTAGCTGGCCTCTACTCCAGTCTAAAAGACAAGTTGAATTTTAATACAGAAACGGGGTAATAAACAGTGATAATACAGTGGCAGACGCATTGACCAGCAAGAGACTTTTGAACCAACAGCGACTGACCCTAGCGTGTAAGAGGATAAGTGTGATTCAGAAATGCTTTCAGGCCAGCTGGCAAGAGACACAAAGTGAGTACAGAGGGGTTGCAAGAAAAGAACCTCCTATATTTGATGTGTGTGATTCACCAAAGAATGTCATGTGAGGTCTCAAGTAAAGACTGATGTCAGGATGGTCAACAATATCATGGTGAAACATATGTATGGATTGCTGGCCTATGACCCTGTCCTGCCTGTGCAAAAGGATTTGTTTGTTTTATTGCTGAGAACTCATATAACAAAGATGTTAGCTATATAATGGGTCAGTCATCGGAAACCTAATTATGGTCACTTGGAACACCACATGTGGACAGAGGGCTGACTTAAATTTAATACGGTCATGAAAATGGTCACATATGTCCAGGGATCTATGTGGTTTATATAATTTAAGGATACAAAGATCTAGAAATTTACCCTAAGCTAGGGGGAGTCAATTATTTTTGTCAAGGTCCAAATTTCTTGGTAATGGTAGAGTTAGGGTTCCAGACTCCAGAGAAAGTAACAAGAAGATTATTTTTGTCAAGGTCCAAATTTTTTGGTAAAGGTAGAGTTAGGGTTCCAGACTCCAAAGAAAGTAACAAGAAAAATGATGATGATGATGATGATGATAAGTAAATACAAGTATTTTGGGATCTGTCCAAAAATTTCTGGCCGTCCAGATCTGGCTCATGGTCTACCTATTGACTACCCCTTCCTTAAGCCCTTGGGTACATTGGCTTCCCAAAATGGCATCGACTGAAACAGTACCTACTCTATAATGTACTCTGCTGACAGATTCCTTCGGTCCTTTTTTTCCTCCATTTTAGGAATATGAGTTTGTTCATAATCCTAAAAGCTATCTCTCTGCTTAGAGCTTCACGTTGTTAGGTTATATTAATAAAGGAACTTACTTGACTGTTAAAATAAGTATCTATCTGTTGTGTGTCTCATGAATCCCACACTCAAACAACTGTGTCACTTCCTGAACGGAAAAACTTGTGATGATAATAAATACCAGTGTGAGAATTGATCGGGCTACAGAATGTTGTGTAAGCAGTCATATATATACAGGCAGTCCCCGGGTTACGTACAAGATAGGGACTGTAGGTTTGTTCTTAAGTTGAATTTGTATGTAAGTCGGAACTGGTACATATTGTAGGGGAAACTCTAGCCAAACATTTCTCCAGAGCTCAGTTTTATTCTCCCACACCTCACTTCCCTCAGTCCTTTATTCTCAAACTGAGGTGTCTGCTGAGAAAAGCCGCTCCGCATCTCCCTGGTCTGCTGGGGGGAGCGCTAGCTTCACGTCTCCCTAGTCTGCTGGGGGGAAGCAGCTAGTGCGGGGTTGCCTCACCCCGTTTGTAAGTAGGGATCCGATGTAAGTCGGATCCATGTAACCCGGGGACTGCCTGTAGAATTTTTAACTTTTTGGCATGACATTTTTAATTTTTCTGCACACAATTTCCCCAGGAGTATATATAATGCAGTGTTTTATATAAGGACAGGAAAATTAATTCTTTGGAGTTACTCCACTGTGATAAATAAAATAGGTAAAAATAAAAACTCTGACAAAAGTAAAGATACTGAATAAATAAAATAGGTAAAAATAAAAACTGACAAAAGTAAAGACACTGGTGCATTTTGAGTATATCTAAAAAAGGTTTGCACTTGAAGTTTTGCACCACTGTGCCTTCCCCTTCTCACCATCATTCTTATTGTGCTTCATGTTAAGCACTGTAATGTGTGTCTTGGGAAACAACAAAAGTTTTTGTTGCTTCTGAGATATTTCTACAAAATATCTCGAATCCTGTAAAGATAAGGATACTGACCATGTGAAAGTGTTTTTCATCTCGTTTAGAAATGACCACTCTCACAGTTTTGCTCTAGTATGAATATTCATTCCTCCTGATGCTTTTGTAAGTGTTATTTACTTACCACTTTTCAGAGGCAATCAGAAAGAGTAACATAATGCCTGAGGAGATTAGAAAGTGTTTCTGTATGAGGAGCATTTATCCTTGCTAAAGCACAACAACTAACAATGAACAGATACAAAACTGTTTCTCTTAATAAAAATTGTTAAAACATCTCTCAACATCCAGACCCAATGTCTTATGCTCATGTTTTGTTTAGTCATGTTACTATTAAAAGTCTGGGTTACTCTGTGAGTATGTTTTATGACAACTTTTACATTTATTTTGCTAGATGTGTCATATAATTAACAGTGCAAAATATTTACTGCTAAAGCATCTCACATACATTGAGAACATTGTTTGTATCCACTGCCTCTCAAATACAAAAATATAGTTGTCCCTAATGTCCAATTCCTGCTTTTATTTTACTTATTAAATCTAACATTAATCTATTTAATTGACATTCCATACTTTAAATTCTGAAAGAGTCACAACAAAAAGGGAATAATTTGTAGAAAAAATAGATCTACCTTTTCACATAAAATAATTTATACCAGTTCTTCCTTTTGTCAACACTATATATTCCTTGTAAGTTAGTTCTCTATGTGCATTATCTAAAATGATTCTAAAAAAAAAAAGTATGAATGTGTGTGATATATCCATAAAACAAGCATAATCAGAATGTATGCTTAATTAGTTTATTTATAAAATAATATCCAATTTTGTGTGAATCTATGATTCTACAATTAATTGTTTTGAAAAAAGAGATGGGAAGGGTATAAGTGCTCTATGCTGGGGGTGGAAGGAGAAATAACATTCTTATTCTTGATAAAAAGTGTAATTGACTCTATGTAAAATAGTTTAAACTAGTCATGCACTTTGTCAACAGGGGGTGTATTAACCAAATTTACACCATTTGATTTCTTTTAAGTCAGGCTATGTGTATTTTGTATAAAATAATGCTGAAAAACAAACAAGTATGAAAATGTGTGGGAAGGTGATCTATAAAATAATATAAAGGGGGTTTGAATGTATGCTTACAGAAGTTTATCTCTAAAATTGGATACAAATTGGCTTCAATGTAATTGTTTTGGGAAACAGGGTGTGTTTGGGGATAAGCAGTGCTGTGTATTTGTATTCTGTTGTATGTTTTGCCTTTATTTATCTGTCCTTCAAAAACTACATTTACCAGGCCTCTACTGCAACTTAAGCCAACAGGCTCAATATGCCAATTGTTTTAAACACAAATGCTGAAGTCATTACCAAGAAAGAAAAGGTTAATTTCCAAATGTATGGCTAATTACTAAAGAAATGAACACACATGAGTTTTTTGACTGGTATTTTACTTCTAGTTTACAATTTAATATGTTACAACCAGTAAAGTACTGTATTCACCATGACTCAGAAAAATACAGGTCAATTAAATATCAATGGATAAATCCATAAAGTGCTGCACTCAGAGTGATTCTGGAAAATGAGACATATTTTAATATTCTATGCAATACGTGCCCATAAGATTAAAGAATACCTTTTGACCGGCTCAACCAATGAAGTTTTGTGCTATTTGGCCAGTAACAATCTGTGGGGAAAAATAGGTTTCTCTGTCTTCTTCCCTTCTTTCTGTTTTAAAGTTTCTCAGTTATCTCATGTCTGTCTGTCCCTTTAGTATGTAACTAGCTCTCTTGTTATAGTTTCTCTATTGCTAATATTTTGTGACTTCTGTGCAACTTTTTAATCAACTTTATTTAGAATTGTACTAACTACATACAATTATTGTTTCTAAAAATAGATGTTTGTGTGTATTAATATGTCACCATTCTTCTGTGATTAGTACTTTGTACATTTAATGACTTTATTAAGAAATGCGCTAACCACTTAAAAAGACTATTTTCCTCTAAAAAATCATGTTTTAATATATGGATAGAGGTATACATATTAGTACTTCTTTATTCTGC